GAGTCTCCTGCCTCAGCCTCCCAAGTAGCTGGGACCACAGGCGTCCACCACAACACCCGGCTATTTTTTGGTTTCAGCCATTATTGTTGTTTGGCGGGCCCAGGCTGAGGATTCGAACCCGCCACCTTAGGTGTATGTGGCTGGCGCCTTAGCCACTTGAACCACAGGCGCAGAGCCATAGATATTATTTCTTAACCACCTTTTCATAACCTGAATTGCTCTCTATTATGGGATCCTTTTTCTTTCCTTCACAGCACTTTTGTAAATTTGTAATTTATACATTTACCTGTTTAACAGCTGTTCTGCTCACTAGGATATAAGGTTTATAAAAGAAATGACTATTTTCTTTCATTTTATACCAAATACCCAATACCTAGCAATTCCGGCCCACAGAAGATACTACATCTCTTGAATAAAGCGTAATCATCTTAATCTATTTTCCATGGCATTTTTTATCTACTGGGAATAGAAAGTTATGCATTCTTGACATTAATGTTTTTATTTTTATTTATTTTTTTTTTTGAGACAGAGCCTCAAGCTGTCAGCCTGGGTAGAGTGCTGTTGCATCACAGCTCACAGCAACCTTCAACTCCTGGGCTGAAGCGAGTCTCTTGCCTCTGCCTCCCAAGTTGCTGGGACCACAGGCGCCCGCCACAACGCCCGGCTATTTTTTTGGTTGCAGCCATCATTGTTGTTTGGCAGGCCGGGCTGCATTGGAACCCGCCACCTTAGGTGTATGTGGCAGGCGCTTTAGCCACTTGAGCCACAGGTGCCAAGCCGACATTAATGTTTTTAAATGGCAGGATAGTCAATAGCAATGTTAGAGAGAGATCTTTATGTTATACCAAGACCTGGTTCATTTTTAGAAATTGTAAGCAAATTTAATGGGCTGACATTTTTGGCATTCAAAGTGCTTTTACCAAAAGGCCAATTGGTTAACAGATGCAACTTTTTTTTTTTTTTTTTGAGATAGAGCCTTACTCTGTTGCCCTCAGTAGAGTGCCGAGGCGTCACAGCTCACAGCAACCTCCAACTCTTGGGCTTCAGCGATTCTCTTGCCTCAGCCTCCTGAGTAGCTGGGACTACAGGCATCCGCAACAATGCCTATTTTTTTTGTTGTTGCAGTTGCCACTGCTGTTTTAGCTGGCAGGGGCCAGGTTCGAATCTGCCACCTTCGGTATATGGGGTCAGCGCCCTACCCACTGAGGCCATATAAACACCCACAGGTGTCGCTCAACAGATGCAACTTACAACTTCTCCCATTACAAACTATACCAAAGCTAGTGACCAGGTTGCCCAGTGCTTACTAACTTTGTATCTTCCAGATATGACACAGTCAGTTCCTCTCCCACGCAGTTCTCCTGTCATCAGCCCTTTCCTCCTCCTTTCAACTACGTCTCCAGCAACACTGACCCATATGCAGTCCCCAGAGCCTGCCCTGCTGCTGACACCTGCTGGACCTGGGCTTCACCACCTCCATACAGATGCAAAGTGAACCTCCTAAATTGTAAGAGTTCTTATGGCCATTCTGTGCTCAAAACTTCCCAAGTTATCCTCTCACTCAAAATAAAATCCCAAATCCCTACTGTGACCTACAAAGCCCTGCCCGATCTATTCCACCCCTTCCCCACTTTCCTGAGTTCATCTGCCACTCTTCCTCCTTCTCTCTGCTCAAGCCACTGAGTTGCTGTTCACATGTCACCTGATCTGAGCAGCCCTGTAAAAAGCAGACATTACCTCCTTTACTATCACCCCTCATTCCATAGCCCTACTTTCAAAGTCTTCTGCAGAGCACTTAGCATCACTCCACATACCAGGTACTTCTTTTGTCTGTCCCCTCTACCCCAGCAAACACAGCTCAGTAAAAAGAGGGAGTAACTCACTTTTGTTCCCTGCTGCAACTCCAGCACCTAGAAGCGCCTGGTACTCTGCAGAACCCATCTATGCAGAATGAAAGAGCACGCCCACACAAATCCAGCTACCCAAGTGATCTTCCTGCCTCAGCCTCCCAAGTAGCTGGGACTATAGGTGCCCACCACAAGGCCCAGCTAATTTTCCTATGTTTTTTAGTAGAGACGGGGTCTCACTTTTTTTTTTTTTTTTTTTTGGGCCAGGGTGGGTTTGAACCTGCCACCTCCAGTATATTACTGGGCCAGCCCAGAGTCTCTTGCTCAAGCTGTTCTTGAACTCCTGAACTCAAGAGATCCGCCCACCTTGGTCTCACAGAGTGCTAGGATTATACCATACCTGGCCAGCTTTAACACTCTTAAAGAACCAAAACATATCCTTGAAAATCCAGTTCAGCTCATCTATTAAGATCAGTCTCCCCTTCATTTTCATATCTCCAGAACCTATTACAGTTCTAGGACAGACAGAAACTCAATAGATAACTGTCAAATTAACTACCTGCATAGGTATATTAAAGATGCCCCTTGTGAATGACACTGTCTGCTCACAATCCCTGCTACCCTCAACAGCCATATTCTCTATCATGGCCCATAACCAGGAACGGGCATATGATCTGTGACATGAGTCTGCTCAATCATATTCCTCTCTAGAACTAGGAATTAGAAGCCAGAGACTGTGCCAGTGATTATGGGCCATGTGTAAATGGGAAGTTTTGAAATAGGCAGTCAGCAGAGAGACCACAACAGATGCAAACAAAGACTACTAAGTAAGAGAACAGATGTGGCCCCTCAGAGACGCAGCACATGGAACCGCCTGGGATCCTTCTTTCTGATTCTCATTTAATTCTAGGAGCCTCTTTCTCCTTGAAGTAACACATTAAATTTCTGTTCCCAGCTCTGACTACTAACAGTTGACCCCGAAGTGGAGAAACTGACCATTCTTGAGCAAAACCAGGAAGTGGGGTTGGCACACTCAAGACATGATCCTAGGAGAATTAATCTCCCAACTGTGTATGTGACCCAGACTGGAAAAACACAAAGAATCAGAGCCCTGGACACTAGTTAGGGAACCACCAAAACAGCCCACAGGAGAGGGACCAGGCCGTGGTAATAGAGAAGTGAGAGATATTAATTTGAACAATATACAATACTTGGCTCAGTGCCCATACCTCAGTGGCAGCCACATACACAAGGGCTGGCAGGTCCAAACCCACCCTGGGCCTGCTAAAAACAACAAGGACAACTACAACCCCAAAATAGCTGGCCGTTGTGGTGGGCGCCTGTAGTCCCAGCTACTTGGGAAGATGAGGCAAGAGAATCGCTTGAGCCCAAGAGTTTGGGGTTGCTGTGAGCTGTGACGCCTCAGCACTCTACCTAAGGCAATACAGTGATACTCTGTGTTAAAATACTTGAACTTTTTGACCCACCAAAATATCCAGAAGAGATATTCTGGATATAAAAATAAAAATATGTGTTCTAGAGAAATAAAAGAACAAACTGAAGATGACTGGAAGTCAAGCACAGGTGACTGGTGGATGGTGTTGCCCTTAATAAAAGAGAAGGACATTCAGAGGGAATAGCAGACTTTTCTTTGCATGGTTATGCCGTCTCCTTCCCCACCACACAGGCTGGGTGAATGGGGTTCTGAGGGGGCTTTGGACAGGTTGAATTTGAAGTGGCCCAAAGAACTAGTATCCCCAGTACCTGGAAAAATAGATCTGGAGATCATTCAAAATATAATAAAAAATACGGAGAACAATAAATCTCAAACTTATATGCATCAAAATTATTTGAGAAGCTTGTCAAATACACCTGTCTCCTCTCCCAGAGAATCCCATTAGGTAGATCTGGGGTAGGGCCTAGAAAGTGGCATTTTAACAAGCACCCCAGAATGATTCTGATTAAAGTAGTCCCCGCTAGTAAAGCTAGTGGAGAACAAACAGCACACCTCCCAGCCCTGGCTCTGCTCTAGATACCCTAAGGTGCTTTTAAAAAATGTCATGTCTGGTCCTCAGTGTTGTCAAACATGGACCCCTGTCATTCCCGAGCCACACCCCAAGCCAAACAAATGGCAGTCTGTGAAAGGCCACGAAAGCTACATTTTTAACGAACACCCGCTAGAGAGCAGAGATAGATGCATACATAATTATTAATAAGAATAAATTCTTCATTGGCTTACTCCTGTCAGAACAACTTGAAAGAATAAAAATTCCAACGTCGCAGGCGCTGACAAAGAAATCCTTTCTTTATAAATAAACTATGGCAACCTGGAAATCGATGGTTTGCCGATATCTTGTCAGGCGTCTAAAAGCCGGCACAGGACAATGGACCAATGGAGCTCAATAAGAAAGCAAGAGAGAAAACAATACCGCCTCGCCCCTGGAAGCCCAGAAAAGAAACCTAGCAACAACTGCCTTAGCGGCACCAGCTCAAGGGATTCTCCAGATGGTGGGTGTCCCAGAAGCAGCTTGGCTAAATAAAAATAAAAATAACTGCTCCGCTAATATCCTTCACCCCCGCTGCCCCCGCCCCCGAGGGTCTCTCCACCTCCAGGGAGCCTGACCACCTGAGATACCAAATCCAGAAAACCTCCCCGCGCTCCAGCAAACGCAGTCTCGCCCGGAAAACTAGACCCCTAACGCCCTGGACTCCCCGCCCCGCCCTCCCCAAGAACCCCCGCCTGAGCTACCTCACTCGCTCCCCTCCACACCAGGCCCATCCCCCTTCTCACCTGCCTATCCCCTTCCCAACGGCCCAACTCCCACCGCCGCCCGGCCTGCGCCTCCTTCCCACCGCCCTAGCCTCCACCCCGCGGGGCTAGAGCCCGCTCCCCGGTCCGGCCTGGCCCCCTCCCCACCGGCCTCGCCGCCTCCTCCTCCCCAGTCGCGCGGCACACCCCTCCAGCCGACCACCACACTGAACGTCTCACCACCTGGCCCAAGGACAGCGCCCTCAACTCTGGCGTGGCCGGCCGCTGCGCTGCGGGCGGTGTCAAAGGACGCGAAAAGGAGACACGGCGGCGGTAGGAGAGTAGCCCTCCGCACACCCGACGGCCATATTCCTCCTTCTCCCAGAACTGACAGATCACGTGGCCGCGCGCCGGGGCGGGGCGCCGAATAGCCACGCCCCGGAGGCGGGGCGGGCACGCCGGGGCGGGGCTGAGGACTGGTGTAGCAGCTAGCAGGCGCGGAAGTGCGGTGAAGGGCAGGGATGTCTTTGGACCTCAAAGTGGTGTGTTTTGTTTTGTCTTGTTATTTTTGGTTTTTACTTTAGAGACAGAGTCTCACTTTGTCGCCCTCGGTAGAGTGCTGTGGCGTCATAGCTCACAGCAACCTCCAGCTCTTGGGCTTAGGCGATTCTCTTGTCTCACTCTTAGGAGTAGCTAGAACTACAGGTGCCCTCTACAATGCCCGGCTATTTTGTGTTGCAGTTTGGCCAGGGTCGGGTTCGAACCTGCCACCCTTGTTATATGGGGCCGGTGCCCCACTCACTGAGCCACAGACGCCGCCCTGTTTTGTTTAGTTTTGTTTTTGAGACAGAGTCTCACTAGGTCGCCCAGGGTAGAGTGTGGTGCCATCACAGCTCACAGCAACCTCAAACTCTTGGGCTTAAGCGATTCTCTTTGCTTTAGTCACCCAAGTAGCTGGGACTACAGGCGCCTGCCATAATGCCCAGCTATTTTTAGAGATGAGGTTTCCCTCTGGCTCAGGCTCCAACCCATGAGCTCAGGCAATTCACCTGCCTCAGCCTCCCAGAGTGCTGGGATTACAGGTGTGAGCCACTACACCTGGCCCTTCCTCCAGATGTATTTTTGACAAGGGCTCTAGGCAATATTGTTTTCACGCTGAATATCATTCCTCTTATAGTTAATTTATTATCCCTATTTACCATTATAATCAAGCATATTCAGAGAAATAAACCACAATTATAACTTAAAAAGACATTAAACATTCAGTACAAATGAGTGCCTGCTCAAAAGCCTTCCAGAATCCATCAGCGAGATCTCTCTGGCTTCTCTGAGCACCTGTGTGTGATTACACTCCAGATCTCCCACAGCATTCACCACCTCCCCTAGTCCTGCATGTTCCCTAGATTCTCCCTCTGCCTTCCCTAGTCCTCCCCCACCCTTTCCCCTTGGAAATGTTCTTTTCTCCAGGCTCCTGTGACTCTAATTCTCCTAGGTTTCCTCCCATTCTTTCAGCTGCTCCTCAGATTCCATCTTCTTTTAATTTGCCTCTGTTTCCTGAGTTCTGCCCAAAGTTGGACTCATCACCCTCCCCAGCCACTGTGGGCCTCCTCAGTATCTCTGTTCTCAGAAAACCTGGCTCCCTCCCCCATCCTCTGAGACAGGCAGCTGAAAGTCATCCTATACACCTCCTCCCGCAGTCATCTCATCAGCCCATCACCAGAGGGTAGCCAGTAGCTGTTTTCATCTCCAGAGTCTATTTAAAGTCATCAGAAGCTCCTAATAAGGACTATATCAATAGCTCTTAACACTCTCCCTGCCTCCATCAGTATTCCTGATAACCACTTCTCTGCAAGCTTGCTACATCATGTCACTTCTTTCACTGAACTGTTCTGTAGCATCCATTTCCTAGAATTAGGCTCTCTGAAACTCTGAGGCATGCTCCTTCTCAACTCCATTCTTTTGCAAAGTGCTGTCCCCCCAACTGGTAGTTCCCGGCCCTGTGCAACTGAGCCAGGTGCAGTGGCTCACATTTGTAATCCTAGCACTCTGGGAGGCTGAGGCGGGTGGATCTCTTGAGCTCAGTTGTTCATGTCCAGCCTAAGCAAGAGTGAGACCTCTGTTCTCTACTAAAAATAGAAAATCTAGCCAGGCATGGTGGTGAGCACATGTACTCCCTCCCAGCTACTCAGGAGGCTGAGGCAAGAGGACCATTTGAGGGCGGTGCCTGTGGCTCAGTGAGTAGGGCGCCAGGCCCATATACCGAAGGTGGCGGGTTCAAACCCACCCTGGCCAAACTGCAACAAAAAAATAGCCAGGCATTGTGGCTGACACCTGTAGTCCAAGCAACTCGGGAGGTTGAGGCAAGAGAATCACCTAAGTCCAAGAGGTGGAGGTTGCTGTGAGCTATGATGCCATGGCACTCTCTAAAAAAAAAAAAAAAAAAAAAAAGGATCATTTGAGCCCCAGGAATTTGAGGTTGCTGTGAGCTACAGTGATACTACTGCCCTTTAGCCCAGGTCACAGAGTGAGACAGTGCCTCAAAACAAAATAGAATACCTCCAAAGCCCCCAAACAAAACAACCCTCCCGAAGCATTCCTGAGAAGGAACAACTTGCTGGGAGGAGGGGGCTTTGCAGTTTTTTACTGAGAAGTCTCCAGTGTAGTTCAGCAGTGCTTGTGTAAGGACCAAAACTAACTTTATTTTAACCTCTCCCTAAACTGCCCAGACCCAGAGCTTCATGCTGCACCTGCATCTTAAGGACATTGTGTTTACTCCCTATGCTATACTTAGAGAAGCTGCATACCAGAGAAGTTGTGTAACCCCCCCCTTTTCTTTGTCTTCGCTCCACTGTGCACACGTCCCGTAACTTGCCCCCTTGTACAGCATCTACCCAGACCAATCCGCTTAAGACAAGTACTACCCCTCCCTTCTTTCTTTCTGTACCCCTTAAAACCCCCTTCCATTTTAGAATCGGGGCTCTTCTGCTCTCCTGCTGCATCAGGAAGAGTAGAAGGCCCTGACTCGTGTCTGATAATAAAACCGCCTCTTGCCTTTTGCATCGGAGCAGTCTCAGAGTAATTTATGGGGGACCTTGTAACTTGGGCACAACACTTGGACCACCTAAGCTAAAGCACCCACCACTCCCCCAACACCGCTGCCATGTTGCTTACAGCTGTATTCCAAGTTCTCCAAAAGCGGTATTTGGTTGTGCTGGTTCACGGACACCCAGTATGGCTCACAGCTGGTGGGCAGGGCTTGGCCTGGGCATGAGCCTGGACCTATCTAAATGCAGTCTTTCAGGCTACTTGTGTCTCTGACTAAGCAATACTGCTGGAGCTACACAAATTACAAGGGCAGAGAGGCTAGGGGAGGTGGTGTTCCTCCTACCTCGGCCTCCCTAGTAGCTGGGACTACAGGTGCCCAACAACACCCCTGGGTAATTTTTCTATTTTTCCTAGAGACAGGGTCTCACTCTTGCTCAGTGAACTCTTGGCCTCAAGTGATCCTCCCCACTCAGCCTCCCTGAGTACTAGGATCACAGACATGAGCCACTGTGCCCAGCCTAGAAATGTTTCTGAAAGCAATCCAGATAATAGCCTGGAAAGATGTTTTTCAAAACAGGCTTTGCTTTAACTACACTTTGGTGGAAGAAAGGGGACAGCCGGATGCCAAGTATGGCAAGTGGGTGGATAAGGAGTACCAGCCCTTGCCCTGTCTGGGTCTGAGGCAGACAGAGACCCTCCAGCCCCTGCCCTGCTTCAGGACTGAACTGGGGAGAAATTTAGAAATTTTACATTCACCATTTTTTTTTTTAAGAGACCGAGTATCACTTTATTGGCTTTCGTAGAGTGCCGTGGCGTCACAGCTCATAGCAACCTCTAGCTCCTGGGCTTAGGTGATCAGCCTCCTAAGTAGCTGGGACTACAGGCACTCACCACAACGCCCGGCTATTTTTTGTTGCAGTTTGGCCGGGGCCGAGTTTGAACCTGCCACCCTTGGTATATGGGGCCGGCACTCTACTCACTAAGCCACAGGCACCACCCCATTCACCATTTTTATTATGATGCCTGGCCATCCATTTAATTACTAACATAATCATTTTCAATGACTGAAAGTGGTAAGATAACATTTGTCACCAGAAAAATTACTGAAATTATGAGAACCCCCTCAAAATGTCATCCACGGATGAAAAGCAATTTGCAGAAGCAGTCCTGAGAAAAGAAGCAAGCTGCTTTCTAATCCTCCTATACCACGTTCTCCTGGCTCGAACGGTTACATTTAGGATATTTTCTATTTGGTACCCCATCTCTAAAATAGGCAGGCGTTCTTGACTCAGGACCAACGCTATTTATTCATTTCATACTCGCGAGCTCTGCAACTCATATCTTAGAAAGCTACAGCTATTGCTGGACAGCAAAAACGCTTTCTCCTCAGTTTTGTTGCGAATATATCCCTCTTTCCACATTGTTTGGTTTTTTCATGCATAGTTTGTGTCGTCTGCCTAAAGATTTTTGCAAATGCATCCTAACAGTTTTGCTCCGGCAGAAACATTCAAACCAGTTTGAGTCTAGCTTCTGCAGTTTTCATGGAGAAAGACAAATATTAAAGGTAAGTTATCTTTCCCTTCCTCACCCCTCTCCCCATCAAAACTATAATTTAATTACACTTTCATCTTTCTCAGCAGTATCAGCATATTAGGATGCTGATTCCAACAGTCAGGTCTTCTTACATGGTTTATTATATGTTCCATAGAAATCTCAAGATCTGGCTCGATGCCTGTGGCTCAAGCAGCTAAGGCGCCAGCCATGTACACCCAAGGTGATGGGTTCAAATCCAGCCCGGGCCCGCCAAACAACAATGACGCTGCAACCAAAAAATAGCCGGGCGTTGTGGCGGGCACCTGTGGTCTCAGCTACTTCAGAGGCGGAGGCAGGAGACTTGCTTTAGCCCAGGAGTTGGGGGTTGCTGTAAGCTGTGATGCCATAGCACTCTACCCAAGGGGACAGCTTGAGGCTCTGTCTCAAAAAAAAAAAAAGAAATCTCAAGATCTTTTTGCACGATAGCTTGAGGCTCTGTCTCAAAAAAAAAAAAAGAAATCTCAAGATCTTTTTGCACAATACATTGCTTTAAAACTGTTCTCTGGCTCAGCACCTGTGGCTCAAGTGGCTAAGGCGCCACATACACCTAGCTGGCAGGTTTGAATCCAGCCCAGGCCCACCAAACAATGACAGCTGCAACAAAAAAATAGCCAGGCGCTGTGGCATGCGCCTGTAGTCCCAGCTATTCAGGAGGCTGAGGCAAGAGAATTGTCTAGGCCCAGGAGTTGGAGGTTGCTTTGAGCTGTGACGTCACAGCACCCTACGTACC